CACAAGGTTAAGTCCTAGAAAAACAGGTAAGCAAGAAGCATGGTGTCCCTCCTAAATATCAGTCCCTCCTCCCAGGGCTGATATTTTCCTGTGATATGGAATACACAAATAAATGTATAAATGCAGATGTTGTAAAGAAATACTGAATTTTAGATTAAAACTGAAGAACTACCAAACACATTTTTTGTATCCTTTTTCTGTCCAAAGTGTGAGAGAACATTTTGTAGAAACAGGAATTACTAGTCATTATTACTTTTCTAATTTAAATCAGCAGAGTTATCTACCAATCTTAGAAACACGAAAAACTAACTTTTTGCAGTTAGGTACTCTGCATTGTTACGGCAGCACTTCCACACTGGGGCCAAGAGTGATAACAACACTGACCAGAAGATAAATTACAGGAGTAGCAAAACATCTACAGCAAGTGCCCAAACCATGATGCAAAACAGACAGACTTCTCAAAAAGTCTTTTAATAATATGTACTGCATAGTAATGTTTTTTAAAAACAGGAAAGGCACAAAAAACTTTGGCAGAAAAGACTAAATGTAACAATTTTTAACATTGCTGCTTTCCAGATCATTCCAATAAATAATGTTTCAACACTGAAAATCTAAAGATTTCATCTCCAGGCAGAACACATGCTAAAGCGATGAATGGTGAAGTTTAGGTGCAGGACTCAGATCATCCTAGGAAAGCACTGAAGAATCATAACTTTGAAGACTTAAAACATTCCCACTTATGCTTAAACAGGAACCAAAGGTTCCTTCCTCCTTTAGGAAAACTGAGCTGTAACTTGTTCCAATTTATAGCTATAAAGTTGGCGGTTAAAGACAGATAAGTTTAACAAAAACACCTAGATGAGGTAGGGCTGTATGATGTAAGGATGTACATCCTTTAGACCTGACTTCTAAAAGCAAGAGGCCTCCTAGAACAATTTAGTCCCGTTCACATTAATCGCAAAGATGAATTTTGAGATGGGACAGTGGGTGGCGGTAGCCTTCAGTCAGCAGCTACACAAAACTTTTTTGTATACGTATATACACACACACACACATGTATATACATACTTTTTCATGCTCACGTCTTCCCAGTACCCAATCCGCGTTTCTTGAATGAAGGGGAAGGCTTAAATGAATGAATGAATGAATAAACGAACAAATGAGAGCTGGGGAGAGCTGGGAGTCTGGCTAAGGGGCTCAGGCAGGGCCCCCAGGGCCCAGTGGCCCTGCACACCGGTCCGCAAGGGCAGAGGCAGCGCCGGGGCGCAGGACAGGGGACCGACAGAGATGGGCCGGGGATGAGGGTGCGGGTCCGGCCTGGCGGAACAAAGGAGCGCGGTGACCTGGCAGGGGCACCGGTCGCAGCACTCACCTCGTCGCCCCACTTGAGCACGTCCTTGTGCCGGTCCTTGACGGCGTGGTAGATGTGCAGGAACTGGAGGATCCCGTGCCGCCGCACGTGGTCGGCGTAGCGCTTGGTCTCCTCCCAGCTCAGAGGCGAGCCCTGGGACAGCAGCCCCATGGCCGCCCCCTCCTCCTCGAGCTGACGGTGGCAGTCGCTTACTCCGGGCGCCGGGCGTGAGCCGGACACTCAGCGGTCCGCAGAAGGCGGCGGCTGCTCCACTCAGGGGGGGGCCCTCCGGCCGCAGCAGACAGAAGGAGGGTCCTATCCGTTCTGGCTCCCGGCGCGGGGATCCCTGCCGCCCAGGTGACAGAGCCCGGGTCCGGTGCACCGCGCAGACAGAGGCAAAAGGCGGCAGGGCAGTCTCGGCGGCTCTCAGCCCGCTCCGACGATCGCCTGCTTCGGCTTTAAGTCGCGGGTGGCGGCTCCCGATTCTCGGTGCCGGTGTCTTGCACTGGCTTCTTCCTACTTGTGTCCAAAACCTGCGCCGCTGCGGAGCATGCCCAGTCTCCGCGTCCGCTGGCTCGCCGCTCCGGGACGTGATCCGGCGTTCCGGATTTTATAGACTGCGGGCGAAGGCGGAGAAAGGAGGCGGTGCGAGAAAGGGAGGCGTGGCTGAGAACCCCAGGGGTCGCTAGGGGCTGCGGAGGAGGCGTGGCAGGCGTGGCTGGGACGGAGTCATAGGGCGGTGCTCTCGGGAGGCGGGGCGGGGAGAAGGGGAGGAGTTCAGAGAAGGGGAGGGGAGAGGGCGGAGTGACCCAGGCCTCAATTAAGCAAAACTTGATAGTTGAAGAAGATTGATTAAATGAATTAATGAAGAATACACCAGATTACTTTTTAGGTGGAAAAAGTCTCACACCTGTAAGAAGAGGGTGAGAGCGGCAGATATGTTGTGAAAAATATTAATTTGGGGAAGTCAGATGAAATACAAATACAAGTCTAGGTTCCACCACTTACTGACAAAAAACTTTTACCTGTTTAAGATTAAATTAATCATAACTTTTATGGAATCTTTAAGGATGTACATAGTGTAGATATGAATAGAGTTGATTGTCAATAAATCCACCTGGTTATCAGGAGGAATCAATTTGTCTACAAGGTTTTTGACACATGTATATATTTTCATTATTTGTGTATCCTCTATTTGATGACATATTTTCTAGATGGCACAGACACTATTCACTGCATCAAAAGGGGTTTTGTGAACATCTCCAGATAGACCATATGAAGGAACCATTTCCAGATTTATTCTCCGTCCAAACCTAAGATTTGTCCACCAAGTGATCACAGTGATGTTTACATGAGCTTATCACAGATATGGAAACTACTAGGAACAATTGAAGTTGCCACCTTGCCCCTAAGTAATTGTTCAATAAGTAGTGTTGACAGAAATTATATGACAGGTCAGGGGGAAAGTGTCAGCAACTAGATCATACATGTACTGAGGCCAGAAAGTGTGTATTTATTAGGCCCCCTTCTCTTAAACTATAGAGTTAACATTTAATAAGTACTCAATTGCTGAATAACTGTATAACAGGAGTCTTCTTGCAGAGGTGGGAGACAAAGATACTGAAGGTCTGGCTGTGATTTTCACAGTGGGATATGTGTATGTATGTGGGGGACCGTGTGCATAGGAAAGGTGATGTTTGAAATTAGGAGATGATATTTCAATTCCTAGAGTACAACTGGAATAAAAACCAAGGCTCTTTCTAAGTTTTCCTCAATCCATTCAACAACTACAGCTACTGTCCCAACTCCTTGTAATACCCTCTCCACCAACCTCACCAGACCTGTGGATGGTCTTGGCTTTCTTTCTGCTCAGAATTTTCCATCCTCACGTATTTCTGCTCACCCGTTGATCCCAGTTACCTCTCTCTTTATTTTAGTTGAATTGTGCATGCCTATGTTTGTAATAATGATGAATAATTTTAAAAATATTTAAAAAGAATTTTTAAAATGTCTACACTAGGTAGTGACTTCCTTTGGGATAAAGATGACTTATGCTTGGACATTTAATTCTAGGAAAGTGTCTAGTATACAGCAGGTGCCTAATAAGTGTTAATTTTTTGTGGAATGTTGAAAGTTGGGCTGGAAGAGAAACATGTTTCACCCATAGATTGAGGCATCTAAAAGACTATCTGATCATTCTCATAATCTCATCCTTTCATAGACCTACCTTTATCAACATGACAGCCATGGGCCATATGTGGTAACTGAGCATCTAATATGTGGATAACATGACTGAAAACTTAACTTTTAGTTAATTTAAGTGATCTAAATATACTTTGAAAATTGGTATTTCATTTGGTAATTGGAAAACTTCAAATTTGGAACAAGCTAGGAATGCGAGTTCACTGAATTTTCAGTGTAAATTTTATGAAATTTAAATGCAAATCAAATATTTCCAAGGTAAATGTATGGCCCGGGAGATGCACTGAATGTAATACACACAGATTGAAAGACTTAATACAAAAACGTGTAAACATTTCATTAAAAAGTTTATTTTGATGGGTACTGCAGCACAGGCCTATTGAATTGCAGCGCCTCCCCAGGCTGAGGCAGGAAGATCTCAAGTTAGGGGCCAGTCTCAGCACTTAAGGAGACCCTGTCTCAAAATTAAAAAACAAAAGGACCGCAGAAAAAATTTTTACACAGATTACATGTTGATACGATAGTATTTAAGACATACCGAGTTAACTAAGATAATTATTCATATTAATTCACCGGTTTCTTTTCTAGCTGTTAAAGGTAGCTACTGAAAAATTTAAGGTTACATATCTGGTTTGCATGCCACTTCGTTGAAACAGCGCTGGCATAGACCTTTACATACACTTGCTGTTTCCTCACAGTGACCCAGTGCAGTCGGTGTCTTAGGAGACTGTGAACTTCATTTTAATGAGGAAACACGGAATTGCGCGGTTCAGTAAAAAGACCAAGTTCTAATACAGCGGAAGTCCTACGCTATACTGAACGAATTAACAGTTAACACTGTTAATTGAGCCTCAGATTCTGGTTCAAACTTACTTAAGGGGGCCTCTCCCAAATTGCCCCTGAATTACTGAACCAAAGCCTATGGGCTCTGGACAACCCTAAATTGGGTCCGGCATTGAGTCATGTCAAATTTAAGTCATGGTCTTCTTAGTACCTTTAGTTATTTCTGTTAAAAGAAAAGAAAGAAAGAAAGAAACACCACGGATCAAAGGGTCACATTTGACAGTGCTTTACATTTACAGGTCTACTTCTCGAATTCATTCTGTAGATTACTCAGGGCTTCGTTTCGGACACCTGGGAGAGCGTTTTCAGCTGACAGCCACATTAGGGATTTAACCATTGCTAAAGGGAGATGCAGAAACTCATATCTTGCAGAATCAGATCTTCCCTAGGCCACGATTAAAGATCCAAGGTCATTTCTTCCACGGGACAATACAGGAATCGGTCCACTAGAACCCACCCTGCCTCTTGGTGGTCTGAGTAGCACATCCTCGCCTGCTAGCACCCAGCGCGGGCACAAGCCCCGCCTCCAGGGAACCTGGAAAAACCCGGGCAGTGGAGCCAGACCGCTGGGGAACTGGGCGACCGCGCTGAGCATGCTCGGAGAGCGGGTCTGTCGCGGGAGGAAGCGGCGCGGGCTGCGGGCGCTGCACGCCGCGCGGTTGTTGTGATACAGCCTCCGCCACGTGACTGCGCGGGGCCCGCCTTCCTTGCGCGCGGTGCCTCCTCACGGTGACTCAGCACTTTGTGCGGGCTCGGAGCCGAAGGTCTAACCCAGGGAGGCTGATTTGGGGCAAAGTCTTGGTGGTTATTCCTGCCCCCGGGCTGCGGATGCCTCTATCGCTGTGGTCACACTTCAGCTACGCCAGGCCTCCAGGCAAGGAGGCTCTGTAGTCCCATCGTTACCCATTTCCTCCTCATCTCGGTTTCTCAGAGATCAAATAAGCAAAGCATAGGGATAGTGCCCAGGGGTCTCTGAGGAGGGCATTCCTGGATTAAGTCACTTGAGGCCACCTACCCCTGCCTTACTGCACTCTTTGGCCTGAGTGTACCTTGTCCCTGAATTTTTCTCAGGTCTCAACAAATTACTGTGCACAGCATACCAGCTTCATGCCGGACTCTTGGTTTCATCTGGAATCCAAAGAGCAGTGCTGGCTGTTCTGGATTGCTGCGTTTTCTGGATGAGGCCACCGAGATACTAATAATACTAAGCACAGGTAGTGACCCCTGCGATCTGAACTCAACTGTAGTTTCAAAGCTTGTGTCTTTCTTTTACTCCACAGAGCCTGGATGAAGCTGATGGCCCTTTTCAGTGGAACTCTTACAGGTCTCCAGACCACCTCCATTATAGCTCTCCTTTGACACACCATTTCCTCAAAGCCTGCGAAGTTAGCCTGTGAAGCTTTTCAGATAGTGACTTTCTTTTAAATTCTTAGCTGGTAGAAAGTTATTTCTTAAGAGTGCATGGTACTAAACTACAAAAGATATAAATTGAATTATACTTGGAATTTGATCATATTCAAGGAGGTTTCCAGGTTCTTTTAATAGAAGAGCAATAGATTTTTAAAAGGGGTTGGGGGGGGGGGTCTTCTGCTCAGGGTTATGATAAGCACAGTTGTGTTTATCATAAGGAAGGGCATCCCTCTGCTCACCTGTTCAAATGAGAATTTGGAAGAGACAAGGTTTGCCAATACTACTGAGTTGAAAATGTACAAGTATGTTTTGCATTGAGTAGTATTTCTAACACGTTACTGAGATGTGTTATTGTTATTTTAAGTCAGAAGTACAAAAAAGCTTTTATTTTTGAGTCAATTTTTAGTTTATGTGGGTTTTTGAAAAATATAAACACGCTTATTTTCATTTACTTAATAAAGGTCTGTATAGTTGAGTGAAGCCCTTTTAAAAGAAATACAGTAAAAAATGAGTCAACAGGGTACAAGACTAAAGATGTGGGAGTAAGAAATGATGGTTTTAGAATCAAGATATTTAAGGAGACATGACTTGATGGGATTCAGAACTCATTGTCTTCCTATGAGATGCTAAGGAAGAAGATATGGGTGTCAAGATGATGGGATGGGTTGGGAAGGGTGAAAGCTTAGTTCAGTAGACTTACTCTTCTAAATCAATGGTTATGGAGTATGGTTAAAGAAAACAACTTTTTTATTATGTACATTTCCAATAACAAAAGCAGAGAGAACATAGTGGAATGACTCCTCATGTACCTATTACCCATCTTTGGAATTATCACATGACTCATCTTGTTTTAGTTATTTACCCTTGTCCCCTCCCCCACTAGTTTAAAGTAAATCTCACTGGGGTAGGAGCTCTGTTATTCTTTCCAATGGTTGAAGAACGCAGAAAGTAAGAGATGGTTTCAGTAACAGAAATGGAGACCAGGAAAATGGAAAGGAATGATCAATAAGATAAGCTAATGCCTTAACAGAATTGAATTTCCTTTATCCTTGTTATAGTTTGGGTCTGAAATGACCCCCAAAGGCTCATGTGCTAAAGGTCTGCATGCAGCAATGTTCTGAGGTGGGGTTCTCAGGAAGTGATTGCATCATGAGGGTTCTAACTTTATCAGTGGATTAATCCATTGCTAGATTGATTGCTGAGTAGAGGTGGTAGAAACTGTAGGAAGTGGGACCTAGTTGAAGGGAATGGGACTTTATCATGTTCCTAGCCCCTTCCTTTCTTTCTCTTTGATTCCTGTCCACCATGAAGCAAGCAGCTGTGGTCTACCACATGCTTTCCTCCATGATGATCTATCTGCCTTATCATTGATCCAGAAGCAATGGAGCCAAGGTGATCACGAACTGAAACCATAAGCCCAAAATCATTTTTTTCCTTTAAATTGTTTTTTTTTTTTCCTTCAGGTATTTGGTCACATCAGCAGAAGACTGACCACCACAATCCTGAAAATGGAGACTATAGACATTCCTTAGCCACTTGTCTTTTATTCCAAATTATCTAGCTATTCTAAATTATGGGACTTTGAATATACAAATAAAAACAAAAAAAAAAACCCATGCTTGTCATATGTAATATAACTGTTTCACAGTGATTGGCATGGACAATTATTATTGTTAAAGTAGGTCAAGTGTTCAAAGGTAAAGTCATTAAGATATGTATTTACCCTTTTAAGGATTCCTAATCTAGTTCCACACTTTTTCTTTTATTTTACTTACCTAAATTCATATAGTATATGTAAACTTCATTCTAGATAATACCAAATAATTGACAATTGGCCTGGTCTCATGCAGCAATGTTCTGAGGTACATAGATTATCTATCTGTGCATAGATAATAAGATGTTTAAAAAAATGTTTTAATGTAAACATAATTGCATCTGTGTAGAAAGGTAGTTGTACTTCATATTGAGCAATTTTACTCAGGTAAGACCAGTTCCTGAAAGAAAACAAAAGAATGATAACATAATTGTACTTCTATAAGTTACTTTCCACACTTTACTCTCTTCCACTTATTTTAGCACTTGGGTTTAAATGTAGTAGGTACCTTAGGAAAAGAAATTTGACTTACCTAAAAAAAAATTTTCCTAAATGCACAGAACAGCCCCACAACAATGAATATCCAGCTCGCAATGTCAATACTATGAAGTATGAAATTGAGAAATCTAGGTCTGTTGTATCAGGATACAGTAGGTGTTCCATGGATGCTTTTCCTTAAATATTTGCAAATATTTCTAAGGTCATCAAAATGGTTAGTTGAAAAGAACTGAACATACACAATGATTAGCATCATTTTATTTGCATCTCTCTCTCTCTCTCTCTCTCTCTCTCTCTCTCTCTCACACACACACACACACACACACATACACACACTCACACTCACTCCACCCTTCAGAGGAGTATTCAGCAAAGGGGATGGGCATCAGGTAAGCTGGTTGCTCTATTTGTCTCTGATCTGGACATGAAGGGAGAATTAAGAAATTACTCAAAATTTGTTATGATCAGATTTATATTTATTCTTCCCTATAAACCAAAAAAGGCAGAAGAGCTTCCCAGTATGCCCTAGGAGAGTTTTGTGCCCTGACTAGTTACAGGATGACAAAATGCTGTTTCCTCTTCATTTTTGTGATGGCAAAGCAAAAGTTAATTTGGGTGGTCTGGGCTCCTTGTTCACAGCTTACTATGCAAAGCAACATCCTTTGGAGTAAAAAATACTCTTATTTTTAAGGAGTACAATATTATGAAAAAGGTTAGAAAAGGCTATTATGAAGTATCAGCACAATTTACTGAGGAGGAAAACAAAAACACAGATCAGGAAATACAATAATAGAGTAAGTTTGTAAACAGAACCAGGTTTGATTCAGATCTGTTTGACTTCAAAGTCTTAAGTTCATTTCCACTTTCCTCACATCTCTAAAATCAAAACTGAAATTAGAATAGGCCTGTCTTACAGAGAGTGCTTTGACAGAAAAGGGGGAAATTAAAAGTGAGGGAATATACATGTCTTATATCTACAATATCCCTGGTGCTTTACATTAAGAATATTACTCAGTTTTCTTAATAGCTTTAACTTATACATAAACTAATAGTGGACAGCCTTGGGGTTTTTTATGAATTTAATTTACTCTTTTATAATGTTCTCTGTATGCCTCATTAATTCTAAGAACTGACTTAGTTCTTAGAAAACAGAGGATTCAGTTCTCAAGAGAAATGTTGATGATAGAAATTGCACTTAATCCCAAGCCTTTAGACTGTGTGATGGTATAATTCATTCAGTATATGACTGTACAAAAGAAAATTATTAAATTTGATATTTTTATTTTTTATGTTTTACTTTTTCTATGTACCTTTTGAATTCTTTGTACACAATTCTAGGATTTTAGAACAAAATCTACATCATGTGCTGATTAGAGAAGATATAGGAAAGACCAAATGGCAGATCAGACTTTGAATCACTACTTTGAGAGATGAAAGTAACATGGGAGCTAGTATATCTCAGAGACCCACAGTGAGGTTTTTTTTTCTTTTTTAAAGGAAAATCTACTCTAAGTATAATCCTTATAGAAAATCTATGGAAGTAAACCAGGCCACTGCATTTTAGTAATATTTCATAATATCATTCACTAAAATTCATGATATCAAAAATGAAAATTCTCTATCCAGAGATGTCTCTCAAGCACTCAGTAAAGCAACTTTTTCTTGTCCAGGAAAACCAAGTGTAACTTTTCTGAGAAATCATGAACTATTTCCACATACTGGGAACTAATCATTGTTTATACTGTCCTCAGTAAGGTCAAGGGCAACATCCTTTGGTTGCAGGCATGTGTGATGGGGAAATTCAGTTTTTTGGAGTCATAATTTGATTGCAATGTGACAGCAATAGTTAAAACCTTGAATGTAAGAATTTGCCTTTGAAAGTAGATGACAGAGGTTATACTTGGCACTATCTTTTTGTATTCATTATGCAAAACAAATAATTAAGAAATCTTCCTAGCAAGCACAAGAGGCCTTGGGTTCCAGTGCCAGCACCATAAAACAAAATGGCAACAACAAAAAAGTTTAACAGGGTTGGAGATACAGCTCAGTGGTAGAGTGCTTGCCTAGCATGGTCAAGACCCTTGGTCTGATCCTCAGCTCTAAAAAATAAAAACAAAAAATAAATAAACACACACACACACACACACACACACACCAAAAAACAAAACAAAACAAAAAAAACAGAAGTGTGAATGTTTGGACAGAATGTAAAATAGCATAGTTATACAACTATGGTTATACAACTAAGGTAATTCTCTGTTAGAGACATTAATGACAGTTGTTTATTTAACAAATACTTCCTTGGCATCCATTCTGTAGGTTCTGGGATAGTCTGTGAATGAATGAGAAAGAAAGCCTTTCTGCTCTCATGGAAGTTTCCTTTTGGAAGACAATAAAATTGAATCATTTCAGATGTCATTCTGAAGAAAGTAATAGCATCTACTGTTTTCATGAGTATTTTTGCTACACTGTCTTCTGGTTAATTTTTCTCATGGTTTAAAATTAAATTAAATCTGTGTTGTGATTTTGCAGGCCAAAAGAGCTTCCAGCTCTTGAAATATTTTTCCTTTGCTTTTGCTGGAGTTGAAATATGACAGAAGTAGAAAATTTCCCCCCATTTTTCTTTAGATAGGGTGTATAACTCCCCTCCTAAATGCAAAATGAGATAATCAGAGTATGTAACTATCATTAAAAGATTCCTTTATTCCTTTTGATAGTCCCTAGTTTCTATATGAATCTACGGATCCTTAAAAACATAATGCTTAACCAGTTTCTAAATTGTGAAGAGGTTGTGAGACATTTATGATATTTATCATAAGCCAAAGTAGTGTCAAAATGTCAAAAGGAATATTTGAGTAATTAATGACATGCCTTCAATAATATTACACTATCATATTCTGCAGGAAGACTATGTTGATATAAGGTTCCTGGCAGAGGATGGGGTAGACTAGAATGTAAAATAAGAGGGAAAAAGTACAAATAGTCCTGTTTTTAAGGACTTTAGTAGTTTTGATGATGTTAAATTTACAAGAAACAAGTAATTTAATTGTCATTAAATTGTATTACACTCAAGGTTACTTATAAGTCCTGGGTTTTTTTTTTTTCCTTATAATACAGTAACATAAAGTCTTTTTGAAAACAGAAACCTTAATAAAGCTTTCCTCTCTCCCTGTAATTTCTAGATGGAAAAGGGAGATTCAGAATCATTACATTTTAATTATAGTAATATGTTTTGTGGTTTCCAAATTTTAGTTTTCAAGTTATGGCCAGTTTCTACAGTTATGGGATGTTTTATATTGAGATGATTATAAGGTAACTTACTTAAAAGGCAAAAAGAAATGCCAAGGTAAGTCTGCAAACATTTACTTCAACATTTAAAGTCTGTTAACGGCTCAATTCAAGTAACGTGTTGTTGCATGATTACGGAAAGCTAGGTTTCTTTTAACTAGTTAGAATACTGTTGAATAATATAAAAACAATGGCTTTTATGTTTATTTTTCTCTGAGGCTTATAGTTTTAGTAATCACATTAGTATTACATTCCAGAATTCCAGAGGAATGACATAAAAACTGGCATGGAGATTATGAAAAATTACCAGAAAATGAAAAGGAAAAAGAGCAAAAGAGAGAGGTGGGGAGAGGAAAAGAGAACAGAAGGAAAGAAAAGGGAAAACAGTTTGGATCAGTGGTTGGATTCCTTACTTATTAGCTCATTGACTCTTTCAAAACATTAACATGCTAGTGATAAGCCTTTGGCAAATAAGTTAACCTCTTAGCCCAAGTTCTGAAGAAAAATATTTTTTAAATAATCAGAAGCAATGAAATTGGAAAGGATAATAATTCCATCTCTGTCTCATGGTTATTGTGAGGTTTATCATATGTAACATATATGAATATGCTTTGGAAAAAATTCTCTACAAATGAAAGTTCTCTAAGGGTACTGTCAATAAAAGGCACAGTACCTTTTTCCATCTTATTTCTGAAAACATATTTGAGGTATTTCATGGAGGGGTTCAGACCCACAGTACAGAGAGCAAGATGAAAAACATCTTTTATCTTCCAAGAGAGATTGTAAACTGTCCCAGTACTCAAGCTAAATGTATGAAGGTACAGAAGGAACAGAACAATATCTCTTTGACTAATGTCTTTGACAAAAATAACAAAAACAACTGCTTTGCGTACATCAGACGTGATATCTTATTGAGAAAAAGTTGGGTAGATGATTCATTCTACAAAACAGGAAAATTTGATCAAGGAGACTGAGTCACTCAGTTCAATACTTATTTATGCAAAGTCTATTTTAAATGTTTACAGACTTGTTTCAAATAACTATGGTCACTGTGTTCCATTAACTGAGACATTAGTGTGTATCTCTCGCTGTTCAAATCTAAAATACCCTCTCATTTAATTCTCACAATGACCACATGAGGTGGGCAATAATTTCTCCATTTTGCAGATGAAAAAAGTAAACTTTGAGGACCTAAGCATATTTTTAAGTTTACCTATCTAGTAAGTGGCAGGATCTGACTTAAAATCCAGACCTTCATTGCCTTGCTTCTACACTTTCAGCTCCAGAGGATCTGCTGCCAGTGCTTCTCCAACATAGTGGAACAATAGCACTGAGCTCAGGACTCCACTGCAAAGTCAGCTGTTTATCTCTTGAGTTCATTGGACCAGTGACCCCCGCCTGCCCCAAGCATGCAGTCCTGTCATCTTCACCGGTGTGATAGAGGTATTATCCCGAAGGCAATTCTCCATCTAGTTCATCTCCTCTTATCAGTCATGTTCTCTTAGTTCCAGTAGTGTGTGAATACTTGTGCAGGGGTTAGGGGAGCTGGCAAGGGTAGGGGTTCAATAAGTGGAAAGGTGAAAAAAATAATAATTTAAGAGGACTGGAAAATATGAATAGATTTAATGACTATTTATTAAGTGCCCACTCAGTGTCAGGTACTATTCTAGGAGCTGGAACAAAATAATGAACAAAAGAGTGGTTGTCAACAGTTTGTAGCCTTGCTGCGTAGCAGGATACCAGTGTAAAATAAGGAGCCACATGAATTAATGCACAATTTAAAATTATGATGGCTTAGGATAGTAAAATAATGCTATAACAAAGAATAAGGAGAGGAAGATATAGTTTAGACGGGGAGTGAATTGTTTCAGGAAGGTCTTTCTGAGAAAATGTTTAAAAAACTTGTTTATAATCTGTATTTGAAATATTTGTATATTGATTCTGGAATAATACGACTGTTAACTTTTTTTTTTAAATTTTATTTAATTGTGTAAAAGTCAACTAGGACAGGAAACTAGATTTAAAAACTCATTTCCAAATCCCTACATAAACCAAATCCCAATAAAGGATTTTTAGTATTATTTATTTTCCAAATGGTTATCCAATATGAAATTAAATAAAACAGCTTAAGTATTATCCATGCTTTTTCCTTTTTCACCATCATTGTTAACTTTTGATGGAAGTTATAGTTAATAGTAAGAAATATGTTTATCATTAGTTCATATGCATAGTTTTCTTACAGTTGTTAGAAATAAATCACAGAAATGTATATTTCTTCATATGCTTTAATTGTGAAATTTAAGGAACTATTTTAATTATCTTTGTATTAGCTGGAGTAAGACATAATAATCACACATTTTTACAGACAAAACAACTATTTTTAAAACTTTTATTTTATTTTTATTGGTTCTTTATAGTTACACAAAACATTAGGATTTGTTTTGACATAATTATAAAAGTATGGAATATAATTTGCCCTAATTCAATCCCTAGTACTTCCCCTATCCCTTCCTCTACCCTCCCCCTGTTCCCTTGCCTCTACTCAACAGATCTTCTGCTATTTACTTGTAGAAAATAACTATTATTTTGTTTCAGATTTTCTTTTTCTTATATCTCTCAATTAACACAAGTTTAACTATTTCTCTCTTTATATGTTAAAAATAATCTTACTATTCAATGTATCTGGTCTAATATTAATACTGTATGGTATATTGGTTACATCTCATTTCTAAATCTTCTTTATGTAACCACATAATGGTTTAATATAATCAAATATCATTTAGTTACTTAGTTAACAAAACTAGTTTTTCATTAAAAAATTTGATGAAATTTGACAACTTTTAATAATCACCTCAAGAAATACCTAGAACTCCCTTTATTAAGTAAAATATGTACATTTTCCCCTTAACATTTTGGGTGTAAATTACCACCTTTTTTTTTTTTTAATAGAGACAGTTACTTCTTAAATAGCATAAAAAATAAAAGTTTTCTTAATCAGTGGGAAGGAACTTTATTTATTTATTTTACTTTCCATTATTCCCTCTGTGCAGAAACTTTTCTGTAAAACTATAGCCTATTTTCAAATATAAAACTAAGTTCTCAACCTGTCCTCTTTCTTGCATTCTCTCTTGGGCTGACTCCAAGCCACACCCACCACACTTCCTCTTATAGGAAGGAAGCTCTCTTAAGACTCTGTGGGTCTGGCCGTGAGGGTTTTCTGCTTGTAGTCGTGGTGTCCTGGGTGCCTTGCAGGTAGAGGGCTTAGAAGGGACCTGTACCCAGTGCTTACTCCCTTTGAATCTGGAACAGTTCTATGCAAAGCCAACAGGTCTCCAAGTACTCTAGGGAAACTTCGGTCATCCCTTCACTCCTTATTGCCTTGGTGGGCCTCTAAACTCTCCTTTTTGCCAGCCTTCCACCCAGGCACCAGTCTTCATAGAATCACAGGGCAACTCCAACCCATACTCTTCTCTCAATAAGAAAAGTCTGCAACTTGTGTCTGCCCAAAAGGCACTGAGTCACTTGAACATTGAGCCTGTGCCTATGGTCCCAGCTCTGGAGAGGCAGGAGGATCACTAGATCCCGAGGGTTTGAGACCAGCCTGGACAATATAGAAAGACCCTTTCTCAAATAAAAGAAAAAAAAAAGTTGAAACAGGGAAGTTGGTAATAACAATGGCAATCACAATAACTATTACTTTGTTTTTAAACAACAGAAAATCAGAGAGGTTGAAGATCACTTGCCCAAGAGTACAGAATTGGGAAACTGTACACAGGATTGGAGCTCAGGACTACTTCTCTCCAAAGCCACCTATGCCACCTTCTCTAAAAGGACTCATGAGTTTCTTCTGTCCTCATGGCTGTTTTTGCCTCTCATGGAACCTGTTAGCTGAGGTAAGTAGGCTAAGAAGGGGGTGAGGAAGCGCACATCAATTTAGAGTGAGGTGGGTTGAGACCAGCCTGAACAATGTAGAAAGACCCTTCTACATTTCTGCTGTTTGTTGCAGCAGTATGGCCAGTGCCCTACCAAAAAGCTTCTGAACTTAAATTTCAATTTTTAGCGTATGTGTGCGTGCAAACACACACACACACACACTATATAAAATTTCATGCATGAACTCAAAAGCCTTCAAAAGGAGTTCCTGACAACTGAGAAAGAAAAGTTATAAAATTGATGACATCTTTTGTTATAAAATGATTTTTTTATGTTTTTAAGTGAGTTTAGATATTTTGTTGGTCATTTTCCCCTTGAAAGAACCAGTGAAATGAAATTCATTTCACTCATTGAGTCTTTCTTTTCCTCTGTCCCTTCCTCCCTCCTTTCTTTCTGTCCTCTAATTTCTCATTTATGAGACACTTGTAATATCTAAGACAGTATTAAGCATTATGGATTCAGAGATTATTGTACCTGGTTTCCTGGAATGCTACACAGAGAATAACTGCATCTTAAGAACAAAAGGTAAATACAAAAAAGGAAAAAAACAAAAACCAAAAAACCTCTACTACAAAACAAAAGGATATATCAGGAGTGGCCAAATAAAGTGTGATCTTTTTGTTTCATTTTTTGATTCATACATAGAGTACTCTCCACTGAGAGAACAGGGGATTAGGAAAAGCATCATGAGGAGGCGATATATAGGCTATACTTTGAAGGAGGTGTGAAAAGTTGATATATAGATATGGGGCATGGATGGAGTTTGGGGCAGTAGAACAATCAGGAACTACATCATGGAGTCAGAGAATTGGATGTGTACGTGGTGCAGTGGCCTGAATATTTGTGCTAGCCACCAATTCCTATGTTGAAATCCTAATCCACAAGATGATAGCATTAGGAGATAGGGGCTTTAGTAGGTGATATAGGCTATGAAGGAAGAGTGCTTATGTTTAAGATTAATGCCCTTTCAAAAGAGATTCATAAAAACTAAATAATCTCTTCCACCATGGGAGGTGATTAAGAAAGTGGGCCATCGCTGGACATGGAAACTGCTAGTGCTGTTGTTTTGAATTCTCAGCCTCTGGAACTGTGAAAAACAAATTTCTGTTATTTAAATAAATAAAATTTATTAAATAAAATTTAATAACATTTATGAGAAGCTATTGTTTTAAACTGAGTTTCCGCACTGTCAACAGACCAGACCAAACCAGAATAGTCATTTATGCCAGGTACCATGTAATCAAATAGAACTTAAAAAAAAGCCCAGTTTCCTGAAAAACAGAAGAATCATAGCAAATAATCATAAGGGGCCCAATAAACCTGGTAGGGTAACCTGATGTTAACCACTTCACTTTTTGCATGATGCTGTTTTCCTATTTCTGCTTAAGCTACCTTACAAAGTCTGACTATTCTGCCACACCTAGTGGAGTACCTTTCAATTTTATGAATGGAATGCTGCCCAATTCATGAATTGCTATAAAAACCAATTAGATTTATTTTGCACTACTGGGGATTGAACCCAGGGGCACTCTGACATTAAGCTATGACTTTAGCCCTTCTTATTTTGTATTTTGAGATAGGTCTTGCTAAGATTGCTGAGGCTGGCCTTTCACTTGCAATCCTCCTGCCTCATCTTTCTGAGTAGCTGGGATCACAGGCCTATGCCACTCACTGCAATTGGCTCTAAGTAGATATTTAAACTCAATTTGTTGAAATTTTGTTCTTGAACTCCAATTTATGGTGTTTACTATAGAAGCCTTAATGGACTAAGACACATGGCCAACAATATGTATTTAATTTTAATGAATGTTTGATTTTTAAAGGCAAATGAAAAAAATAAGTTAAAAAGATACGTCAAGTCCAAATTTAAAAGATTAATCTAAAGTCTTAGAATTTCGTTTTCTTCCTTTCAAAAGTGAAGTCAATTATACTCCTTAGTTTATACCATACTTTGGCTGTCGATCTTTTCTTCTATTTCTTTCACTTATTCATTGTTATTTCCTTCTATTCCTATTTCTGATTTCCATTCCCACTCCCACCAGTATTCTGATATACTTGATATTTATGCTTTCTTTGTATGAGTGTTTTTTTTTTTTTTTTTAGGGCCAAGGATTGAACTCAGGACCTTGTACATCCTAAGCAGCGCTCTGCCACTGAGCTAAATCCCCATCCCTTGTATGTGTTTTAATTGTATAAATACTACTGATTTAAAATAAATTTTATTATGGAAAATTTCAAACATAAAAACAGAATATTATAACAAACTTGCCTATATCTATTATCCAGCTGTGATAATTATCAATTCTTTCAAAATATATTTTATCTATATCCTCATCACTTTTGCAGTCTCTTCCTTGAAGTTATTTTAATGAAAATCATAGACATCATATTATTGCATATGTAAATATTTCAATATGAATCTTTAAATGATAAGGACCTTTTACAAAAATATAATTACAATTATATTGCTATTATCTCACTTAAAATTAGTGAAAATTTCTTAATTATTTCTGAAGTAGGTGGCAATCACATTTTCTCAATATTTCTGCAGAACATTAGAGAAGATTGAAATTATTAAAATCTATAAATTTGGAGGAGTTTGCCTGCAGTTCGGAGATTGAGACCTCTGAAGTGGGGGTTATTACTTTCTTATGGGCATGTTGAACCTGGCTCTAGAAATGTTGGAAACACAGGGAACTAAAATCAACTGTTGCCACTGTAACAAATTGCCACTACTGGGAGAAGAGTTGATGGTACTGTCTCCCTTTTTTTGTTCGGTACTTTGCAACATCACTAATAATTCCTTAATTATGTTAGATTCTGACTGTGTTTCTGACTCCTGACTGGATTCCTGTTGATACATACCATCTCATGTCCCTGGATTCTTTTCTCTTTCCCACTATATTTATGTTGTTCTAGATTATTACCAAAATGCCTTTTATTTTTCACATTCTCTTTATTTGTTCACTTTCAAATTAAAAATAGGATCTGTATTTCACATGTTTTTTTCAGAAAAAAAAATTATTATTTTGGTAATTTTTCATTATTAACATCTTTATTGAGGTATAGCTTATACACAGTAAAATGCACAATAAAATTTACAGCTTGGCAGGTTTTGACACATAAGTATACTCATGAAACTATAACCATAATCAAGATAATGAGCATATTCATCTCCCCCAAAAGTTTTTTCATGCTCTGTTGTAATCCTGCTTTTCCACCTTTCTCTTCCTTCTACCCATCCCCAAAGCAATCACTGATCTGCTTTCTGACATAATTTATTGGTTGTATTTTCTAGAATTTTATGTCAATGGATCAAATAGTGTATACGCTTTTTATCTTGTTTAGCATAATTATATTGATGTTCACTCATGTCATTGCATGTAGCAATAGCTCATTCTTTTTATCATTGAGTAGTAGTACATCCATTATATGAATGTACTACAGTTTTTTATTCATTTACAAATTAATGGATACTTGGAATTTTCCAGTTTGGGCTATTATGAATAAATTTGATGTGAACAGTTATATATAAGTTTTCCATAGACATAGGCTTTCTTTTTCATTGGAAAATTCTTTGGAGTAGGATGGCTAGATTGTATAGTAAGTGTATCTTTAAGAAACTGCCAAACTGTTTTTTAAAGTAGTTGAACTATTTTCACTCCAAACAGCAGTATATGAGAGTTCTAGTTCCTTTATATCTCTGGTAATACTTGGTATAATTAGTGTGTGGTTATATTTTTAATGGTTTTCATTTGCATTAATAACTAATGATGTTTAGCATATGTTCATGCTCATATTTATCATCTACCCTCTTTGGTGAAGGGTTTACTCAATATAGAACATATTTTGAATTATGAAGATAAGTCTTAGTAAATTCGAAAAGATTCAAGTCAAACAAAGTATGTTTTTAGACCACATTGAAATTAAACTAGAAACCAATAACAGTTATATCTGGAAAATCTCAAAGTATTTGAATCCAGTGTGGCTGTTAGGAAATCTGATGATAGTCTGATTCTTGTGTAGGAGGTATGCTTTTTCTCTAGAAGCTTTTAGAATTTTCTCTTTCTCTCTGATGTTCTTAAATTTGCATTTCTGGAGTCTTAATCTCTCTTATTTGGTGTTTAGTTCTTTCTATCTGAGTTCTTTGGTTATTCCTTATTTCAAGGATATTTATTTCATCAAATATTTTTCTTCCTTTTATTTCTGCTTCCTTTTTCATTCCTATTTTCAGTATGCCAGCATGCATTCTTTCATCTACCATGGTACTCATGATTTTATTTCAGTATCCTTTATCCTTTTTTAATCTTCTGGGAGATTTCCTCAGGCTGCTCTTTTAATTTTACAATTTATTCCTTGGCTATATTCAGCTTTCTATTTATTACATGTAGTATTCTTTCAAGTATCATTTGTTTTAATATGTAATATTTCCATATAGCTTTCCTTGTGCCTTTTCTCCTACTTTCTATACCCATATTCATTTTTTACATTATTGGTTGTCTTATTTTAATATTTTAATCTATTTTTTCAATATGTCTGCCTGATATGGTATATGTTGTTCAGTGTGATTTTCCTTGTTAGTGTTTCAAGTCACTATTTAGTTGTGAGATGTTGATCCCCTGTAGTTGTCAGGGTGAGATTCTAATGTTCATACCCCAGTTCATGTCTTCCTATGACTTTAACAAAAGTTAAGAGATCAGCCCTAGGGAGCTACCAGAAGTACAATCTACAACCTATCTGTTGCCCCTCCATTAGGGCCCTCTGGAGGAGGTTCTCCTTTTGCATAGGAGGTGGCAGTTACCTCCTAAGTAGTCTGTAATCTCTTCTGCACTTGGTGGAGAGAACCAGGAGAGCGAGTGCTCAGGGCAGCTGCCCAGTCTTCCCTTCTTATTGTGGGCTGATGCTGCTGCCTTCTCATTCAGACAGGTTATAGGGCAGACCATGGAAATATGAGAGGAAATATGTGAGAGGCATAGCAGAATCTAACCATGTAATCTTTACCTGTTATTCTACCTCAGCGTGCCACCCAACCACAATTTAAAATTGCCTTTAGTATCTCCAGGATTTCTCAAAATTTTAAGGTTAATATACCCTTCTCTATTCTATAGTTTCCTCAGGGCTGGTTCTCCAGGGCATCTCTAGCTTTTCCCTGGTCAAAATCTTGTCTGAACTTTCTGGGGGTATTGGTGGGAGATAGTTCTTTAAAACTCTTAAGTTTTGCTGTGAGAAAAATTAGTTTTTCAGCAGAGTGAAATAAAAAGAGGAAGGAAACTCGGCTACTAGTCTAGGTAAGCAGTAACAGAGATCTGGATTAGTAGTTTGTATGTTGAAATAAGATTATTTTTTCCTGTTTAGATGATTTACTTGCTAGTGAAATCCAAGCTTGAAAAAACTGCTGTTTTATTTTTGTTTTCTTTCTTTTTCTTTTTTTTATAAACTAAATATGTTTATTCTTAGCATATTTTTTTTGAGTGAATTGAAAACTAAGCACTTGGAGAAATTCAAGATGTTACAATGAAATGGGAAGCTAAGACAAGGCCAGATTGGAGAGCAAGTTGTTATTATTTAAAACTTATGGACCACCTTGAATATGCCAAACTCTACTTAAGAAAATACAGAAACACGATCCCTTCCATTTAACAGCTAACATTTTCAGAAAATATACCACATTTCTCACCTACAACCAATGTTTAGTTTGAGGAATTTCCTCTTCTTTGTTTTCTTTTCCTTAAATGTTTTTAGGCGGTTCTCTTTTCTTTAAAGGCTGAGAACAAAACATAATTGTATATGTTCATTTTGTTGGCTTGACAATTGATAATTAAATACTATATTTATCCTGTAATGGCATAAAGTAAGCTGAATGGAGCGTATGTTACCACTTTGCAACTATTCAGTGTGCTTGTCTCTCTTTAGGATGATAATTGGCTGGTCTTTACCAGCCTTACCCAGAGCTTCACACATGCTAGGCAAGCAGTCTACCTCTGAACCACACCCCCAGCCCTTTTTGTCTTGAAACCGAGTCTCCCTTAAATTGCCTCAGGCCTTGGATTTGTGATCCTCCAGCTTTAGCCTCTCAAGTAACTAAGATTATAGGTGTATGCCACCGTGCTTGGTGAGATCTCCATTTTTATTTCAGGATAATATCAAGAAAATAAGTTTGAATTTTAACTTGCAAGATTAATGTTAACTGTAGACATGAAAACTGTTCAGTCTTACATCCAAAAATCAATAGCTTTCCTATAATTACCAATGATGAATCTGTCGAGAAAGAAATCAGGAAAACAATTCCATTCACAATAGCTTAAAAAACAAACATATAAAAACCCAGGAATTAATCTAATCAAGGAGGTGAAAAATCTTTCAATGAAAACTATAGAACATTAAAGAAAGAAATTAAAAAAGATTTTAGAAGATGGAAAGTCCTCCCCCTATTCATGAGTAGGAAGAATTAATATTGTTAAAATGACCATACTATGAAAAGCAATACACAGATTCAATGCAATTCCCATTAAAATACCAATGACAGTCTTCACAGAACTAGAAAAAATAATCCTAAGACTTATTTGGAAGAACAAGAGACCCAGAATAGCTAAACAAATTTTTAAGTCAAAAAAGCAATTATACTGTAGAGCTATAGTAACAAAAACTGTGTGGTGCTGGCATAAAAACAGACACATAGACCAATGGTGCAGAATAGAAGGCATGTAGACAAACCCACAGAAATACAGTCATCTTATTCTCTACAAAGGTGCCAAAAAACATACATTGGAGAAAAGATGGCTTTTTAAAGATGCTGGGACAACTGGTTACCCATATATAGAAGAAGGAAACTAGACCCTTATCTCTTACTCTGCACAAAAATCAACTCAAAATGATCAAAGACCTCAGAATTAGACCAGAAACTATGCAACTCCTAAAATGGATAAAAAATGTGGCATATATACACAATGGAATATTACTCAGCAATAAAAGAGAATAAAATCATGGCATTTGCAGGTAAATGGATGGAGTTAGAGAAGATAATGCCAAGTTAGCCAATCCCCAAAAACCAAATGCCAAATGTTTTCTCTGATATAAGGAGGCTGATTCATAGTGGGATAGGGAGAGGTAGTATGGGAGGAATAGATGAACTCTAGATAGGGCAGAGGGGTGGAAGGAGACGGGAGTGGGCATTGGGTTAGAAATGATGGTGGAATGTGATGAACATTATTATTCAAAGTACATGTACACGAATCCTTTTACTTTGTCTACTTTGTACACAATCAGATATGAAAAATTGTGCTCTACATGTATAATAAGAATTGTAATGCATTCCACTGTTTTATATATATATA